CCCGGGCAGCGGCACTATCACCTACTCTTATATCGAATTCCAACTGCCAGAGGATCTTTTACGTGCATTCCAATATATACACGGGACCTCGGTTTTTCGTCTCATCCGAAGGACTAGACAGCTGTCCTTGTCAGGCCCTCCGTCCTGCATCATTGACAAGGGGGAACCCCGCTGGAAAATCTGGATAAACTTTCTCGGCCAATGCAGGGATTGAACACCCGACCTCCAGACTAGCGAGCCAGCGTCTTACCCATTTAGCCACGTGATCCCCCGGTTCCAAAAAGCAGATATTAATGTAATATGTGTGTACGTATAGTGAAAATCATCTTCTGTATCCCCAGTGATATCTACTCCACACAATACCCTCCATTCTACTCCACACAATACCCTGGGTTTCATTCTACTTCATTATACTTTGAACCAATCAAAAAACAGTTTACATACGAGTCATAGCGTCATTGTTTATTATTATTATTATTATTATTATTACAGCATATTTATAGTGCACCCTTTCATATAACATGTTCAGGGGCACTTTACAAAGTGACAATGTAAATCACACATAAACAACAAGATTATGGGCATGTTAACGATTGTATACAGAGTCAGTTAAAAGCCTGATTAAATAAATGTGTTTTAAGTTGTTTTTTAAAAGAATACAGAGATGTAAAACATCTTAAACTAAATGGTAGATTATTCCATAAAACAGGTGCTTGATAACTAAAAGAGCGCTGACCATAGGAGACTAGTTGAACAGTTTTGGGCTTTAAAAGTAGTTTATCTGATGTACGTAATGTTCAGCCAGGTGTATAAAGTTCTAAAAGATCTGAGAGGTAAACAGGAGCTAAATAATTTAAACATTTAAAAGTAAGTAATAAAATCTTAAAATCAATTCGATATTTAACAGGTAACCAGTGTAAATTATATAAAACAGGAGTTATGTGGTCACATTTCTTAGTTAAAGTAACAAGTCTAGCCGCAGTATTCTGTACTTTTTGTAATTTATCTATAAGCTTTAAAGGTAAACCAACTAAAAGTGAATTAAAGTTATCTAATCGAGAAGTGACCAGAGAATTAACAACTGACTTAGTGGCCTCTACAGTTACACATTTACGTATTTTACCTATATTTGTCCCCCGCCTTTCGAAGAAAGCAGGGGACTATTAAAATGGGTTCGTCCGTCTGTCTGTCCGTCTGTCTGTCCGTCCGTCTGTCTATCTGTCTGTCTGTCCGTCTGTCTGTCCGTCACACTTTTTGGGACACAATAACTCTCTTCCTAATTGAGCTAGAATGTTCAAACTTGGTGTATGTGTTTATTAGGTCAATGCCTTGATGGAGTTCGAAGATGAGCATTTTCCGCTTAGGGTAAGCAGAGATAAGCAATTTGATTGGTTGATGCTTTGGGACACGATAACTCTCTTCCTAATTGGGCTAGAATGTTCAAACTTGGTGTATGTGTTGATTAGGTCAATGCCTTGATGGAGTTCGAAGATGAGCATTTTCCGCTTAGGGTAAGCAGAGATAAGCAATTTGATTGGTTAATGCTTTGGGACACGATAACTTTTAATTGAGCTAGAATGTTCAAACTTGGTGTATGTGTTTATTAGGTCAATGCCTTGATGGAGTTCGAAGATGAGCATTTTCCGCTTAGGGTAAGCAGAGATAAGCAATTTGATTGGTTGATACTTTGGGGCACGATAACTCTCTTCCTAATTGAGCTAGAATGTTCAAACTTGGTGTATGTGTTGATTAGGTCAATGCCTTGTTATTAATTGTATCGATCAGATCACATGGTATTATTGTCTATTAAAATGGGTTCGTCCGTCTGTCTGTCTGTCTGTCCGTCCAGACGTCCGTCCGTCCGTCCGTCACACTTTTTGGGACACAATAACTCTCCTTCTAATTGACCTAGAATGTTCCAACTTGGTGTAGGTGTTTATTAGGTCAATGCCTTGATGGAGTTCGAAGATGAGCATTTTCGGCTTAGGGTAAGCAGAGATAAGCAATTTGATTGGTTGATGCTTTGGGACATGATAATTAAGTGAGAGTGATGAAACTTGGTGTATAGTTTCATTACATCAATACCTTGACTAAGTTCGATAATGAGCATTTTCTGCTCAGGGTAAGCAGAGCGATAAGCAATTTGATTGGCCAAGACTTTGGAACACAATAACCCTCCTTCTAATTGAGCTAGAATGTTCAAACTTGATGTAGGTGTTTATTAGGTCAATGCCTTGATGGAGTGTGAAGATAAGCATTTTCTGCTTAGGATAAGCAAAGATAAGCAATTTGATTGGTTAATGCTTTGAGACACGATAACTTTAGTTCCAATTAAGTGAGAGTGATGAAACTTGGTGTATAGTTTCATTACATCAATACCTTGACTAAGTTCGATGATGAGCATTTTTTGCTCAGGGTAAGCAGAGCGATAAGCAATTTGATTGGCCGAGACTTTGGAACACAATAACCCTCCTTCTAATTGAGCTAGAATGTTCAAACTTGGTGTAGGTGTTTATTAGGTCAATGCCTTGATGGAGTGTGAAGATAAGCATTTTCTGCTTAGGGTAAGCAGAGATAAGTAATTTGATTGGTTGATGCTTTGGGACACGATAACTTTAGTTCCAATTAAGTGAAAGTGATGAAACTTGGTGTATAGTTTCATTACATCAATACCTTGACTAAGTTCGATGATGAGAATTCTCTGCTTAGGCTAACAAGCAATAAGCAATTTGATTGGTTGATGCTTTGGGACATGATAATTAAGTGAGAGTGATGAAACTTGGTGTATAGTTTCATTACATCAATACCTTGACTAAGTTCGATGATGAGCATTTTCTGCTCAGGGTAAGCAGAGCGATAAGCAATTTAATTGGCCGAGACTTTGGAACACAATAACCCTCCTTCTAATTGAGCTAGAATGTTCAAACTTGGTGTAGGGGTTTATGAGGTCAATGCCTTGATGGAGTACGAAGATCAGCATTTTCTGCTTAGGGTAAGCAGAGATAAGCAATTTGATTGGTTGATGCTTTGGAACACGATAACTTTAGTTCTAATTAAGTGAGAGTGATGAAACTTGGTGTATAGTTTCATTACATCAATACCTTGACTAAGTTCGATGATGAGAATTCTCTGCTTAGGCTAACAAGCAATAAGCATTTTGATTGGTCAAACTCTTCTTCTAATTGAGGTAGAATGTTTAAACTTGATGTAGATGTTCGTCTTGACTGAGTTCAACAACTCTTCTTCTAATTGAGGTAGAATGTTTAAACTTGATGTAGATGTTCGTCTTGACTGAGTTCAATGATTAACATATCGAGCTAAAGCTAAGCAGAGATAAGCAATTTCCTGCTTTGGGACAAGATAACTTTGATTCTATCTGATAGAGAGTGATGAAACTTAGTGTATAGTTGATAATCAGTTTGATTGCTTGATACTTTGGAAAAAAATAGATGTGCGATTAATTAATGTGTCATCTATTTATTCGGGGATTTCGGCGGGGGACATCAGCCTCACTGTTGGCTTGTTCTAATATTAAAATAGCACAATTTACAAATATTATTTACTTGAGCTCCCATAAGCATAAAACTATCAAAGATAGCGCCAATATTACGAGCAGAATAAGATGAAAATATATCACAATTACCAATTACAACAGGGGGGTTATCTTGTGCAGATTTACTTAATTGATGCCTTGAGCCTAATAACAAATATTCGGTTTTATCATCATTCAATTTTAGAAAGTTCTTTGACATCCATTTTCTAATTTCACTAATACAGTTCTCAAGTTGCAATTTTGATAAATTGAAAGAAGATGGACAATTAGGTGTAAATGAAATATATAATTGAGTATCATCAAATACAAATGAAGGCTGAGACCATATTTTCTGACAATATCTCCTAATGGTGACGTATAGAGGGTAAATAAAATCGGACCAAGAACAGAACCTTGGGGAACCCCAGATGACAAAACAGATTCAGACGACGATTTGCAATTAACTAAAATACACTGTTTTCTACCCAGAAGATAGCTCTCTAAAAGATTTACATTCCCTTCACCCACTCGATTGGTCGATAAAAATAGCACAAGTATCAAGGGCAGATAATTTGACCGTGTCTCCCCCGTGAATGAACCCAGAGTATGCTGGAGTAGAACGGAATGATACCACTGATGATACTGACTGTCTCCCCCGTGAATGAACCCAGGGTATGGTGGAGTAGAACGGAATGATACCACTGATGATACTGACTGTCTCCCCCGTGAATGAACCCAGGGTATGGTGGAGTAGAACGGAATGATACCACTGATGATACTGACTGTGTCTCCCCCGTGAATGAACCCAGGGTATGGTGGAGTAGAACGGAATGATACCACTGATGATACTGACTGTGTCTCCCCCGTGAATGAACCCAGAGTATGGTGGAGTAGAACGGAATGATACCACTGTTAATACTGACTGTGTCTCCCCCGTGAATGAACCCAGGGTATGGTGGAGTAGAACGGAATGATACCACTGAGGATACCTAGGATGAGTGAAAATTGAAAAAAATTATTTTGAAATTTCTAATCATTTATGTTTGGTGAAATACTTGAACAGTCCAAATTGAATGGCAGTCGTTTGGGCCTGTTCTACATGTTTTTAGACATGTTTCGTGAATCAGTAATTTTTAAATATTTTCACGTTAAGGTGTAGAGTTGCCTGTCAACCTCGTTGGTTTTCCCTGAGACCTCTGGTTTCCTCCCTCTATTAAAAGACACTTACGTGCAAGTGAATTATTGAAATATTTTTTAACCATACGACAATTCTTCCCAATGACAAAAAATAACAGCTCTGTAGGTTTGTTTCCAATTTCAACTTTTCTTTTATAGAGGCTAGAAAAATGTATTGCTGCAAAAGAAGAAATGGAAAAAGATTTTTTTCAAAGGTAAATAACATGTCATCCAAGTATGAATGATTTATCATTTGTATTTGTGTAATAAAAGACACAATAAGAAAATCTGATTCTTAATTTTAGTTTTAAATATTTTATTAAATAAAACTAAATAAGGTTTACTGTCTAACATTCCTGTACCACGTGTTATTGAGGGTTAGGGTTAGAATAAAACTAAAAATGGTTTACCGTCTAACGTTCCTGTACCACGTGTTATTGAGGGTTAGGGTTAGAATAAAACTAAATAAGGTTTACCGTCCAACGTTCCTGTACCACGGGTTATTGAGGGTTAGGGTTAGAATAAAACTAAAAATGGTTTACTGTCTAACGTTCCTGTACCACGGGTTATTGAAGGAGGAAAATTGGTTTAATGGACAGAAATTTTGACTGGACAGCACCATGTTCCTGAAGCAATGACTGCAAGTTTTACAACATCTAGCCATTATCTCCCTTTACTGCACACACATGAACAGTAGCGTTGTGCAATCAGAGGTCGGTACACATAAACACTCAAATCAGACATGGCGACCTACAATTAATGATGAAATATGCAGGGTATTACGTGAAAGACTTGATAAGATTACAGAGTTAAAGCAAAATCAAGCCTTCTAGTGATGGTAATTTTTACAGGACAGTGTAGTTTCTGCCTACTCTTGATCAAGTTCGAGTTGTTGGATCTTCTTTAATGTGGACACCATCTCGTACTCAATGGACCACCAGTTTTCATCCTTTTCCTTGCTGAACCAGTGACATGAGGAAAGCATCCTGGAAAATCTCAAGAAACCTTCTCGACAAACACCAAGATCAAAGTCAGGATCTCCCGGTTAATTATTATCATCTACATAAATATCTTTTATTTTTAGTTTGTGGCCATATTAAATAGTAAAAAAGAAAAAATAAGAAATTTAAAAGAAAATGGTTCAGGTAAGAGAGACTTTAGGGTTTAACATCCACTTGAAACTAACAAGATCATTTCACAATTAACATATGGTATAATAATTTGTTTACAGGGAATATTTTAATATGACTCAGTTGTTATTAGATTTATGAGTTTGACTCAAATATGAATGATTTTTATATTACATATAATTATTTTCAGTTAAAAAATATTTTTATATTACTTTTAAAAACATATTCAAATCAATTAATTTATTATAATTTTGCTTCAAATCCTTCTCAAAACATTGTAATTGTCAGGGAATACCCCTGCTATAAAAAATTGATCAAAAGAGGTCATTGTTGTGTCAAGTGACTTAGCTGTCTCGGTACCTAGCAACAGGTGCGAAGCCGGAGGAGAATTCATTGCATATACAAGACGATGCTGTCTTTAATAGCTGACTGTTTATTACAAATATCGAAGCCCAATAAATTATTGGATTATCCACTGCCCTAGTTTTTTTCCGTGGTTTTTAAGTCAGAAACTGTTGCACGATCAAGTTTATCAACATATACATCAAGCGCTCACTAACTCGTGCTATATTTGATGTGTTATTACAGGTGATGATAATGAGAAAGATGATGGAACATCAGGTAACACTTATTCCGTTTTATTTATGATGACTAAATCTTTATTTCACACCCAGCATATACATGGGGAGCCACGGTGGCTCAGTGGGTGAAACGTTGGCTCGTTTACCTGGAGGTCTCCTGTTAAAGTAGGATGTTAAAGCCCATTTTATTTCTGAGGGTATAAATGAAGGAATTAAAATCTGTATTTCTTATTCTTTTGGAAACTTGCTCATGTATAAGGTCATGTTGAGACTAACATCAACTTAACACTGACTAGGTCATGTTGAGACTAACATCAACTTAACACTGACTAGGTCATGTTGAGACTAACATCAACTTAACACTGACTAGATCATGTTGAGACTAACATATGGTGCTCTCATGTTAATAATTCACCTGTTTGTTTAACAACAGGAGGAAACCAAAGGACCTGCAGAAAAACCCTGAGATTATTCATGCCTCTTGACTTAATAACAGGCCTAGTGATCTAAAGTACTCCCTGACTTGATCATATTGAGACTAACATATGGTATTCATGTCTCTTGACTTAATAACAGACCTAGTGACCTAAAACTCACCCTTTATACTGTTTATTTCACCCTTGATCATCAGGTCATACAAAAACAATATATTCCTTCCTAAATATCTGATACATGTTGTTAAATGTATGATTATCCAGTATTATTGTCAATAACATTTATCAGGGATGTTTACTTGGTAATTGAGCCTACAATGTTTATGCATTTCCATTCAAGTTTACCCGGAGAAAACAATTTGATGCGATAATTAATGAGACCATTTGTATTGTTCTTTATTTAAAATTAAAACAGGTGGTAGGCTCTCTTTAAATGATGTAGCAGTATCTTAGAAAAATAATTTTTGTGTTTGGTCTATAGTACTAAAATCTTTAACAAGGTAAAAAGGGTTGAGGTGCCCAAGGGTAGATTTGTCTGGTTCTTTGGTACAAAAGGAAAAATAATATCAATTGTGAACAATAGCATGATATAACTGTAGGACAGCCAGTCTGGTATCAATTGTGAACAATAGCATGATAACTGGTATTAACCAGTGGTCGTATGACCTGCCAACTGCATTAGCCAGTCTGGTATTAACATTACCAGAAAAAAAAATATTCTTTTGAAAGTATTCTGATTTGTTTCGTCTGCTTTTAATAGGCTGTTCAGGAAAACTGCACAGCAGAACACAGACATAGCAAACAAAACATGTATGAGACATGTATAAACACATTGGTTTAAAAAATATAAAAATAGAAATGAAGATGATAAGATTATATTTTACATTTTACAGTGTCACAGTCGAATTCTACTCGAAATGGAAGACAAAACAGAGAACAACAGGTTGAAACAAATAAAGAAGAAAGCTAAATAAACCTTAATTATTGAACACCTGACCGAAATGGAAGACAAAACAGAGAACAACAGGTTGAAACAAATAAAGAAGAAAGGTAAATAAACCTTAATTATTGAACACCTGACCGAAATGGAAGACAAAACAGAGAACAACAGGTTGAAACAAATAAAGAAGAAAGGTAAATAAACCTTAATTATTGAACACCTGGCCATTACATGTACCTGGCTACATAAATAGACCTTAATTATTGAACACCTACAATATTGATGATTTGTTACTGAAAGCCAGCAGTAGTCCCATTATTTGATAAAATTTAGATTTTGTAGAGTCTGTGTTTGATCACCATTGTTTTTATTTTCTAGCGATAAAGAAGAAAATACAGATGAGGAAGAGGTAGGTTATATAAAATCATTCACTTGATTTGATGTTTGCTTATTTGGTGCAATGTCTATTTTCTGTCTTGTCTGCAGGTTTATCTTGTAGATTTTTGTTTTGCGTGTAGTGCGGTCCTCCTGCACTTACTAATAGAGTTACTTCCCTTTCAGTATTCTGTTTATTTTTGAATATTACATGATATCAGTAATCAATATTTATTGAATGATGAAAACCTATTCAAAGTACTATATAAAGTGATATTATTTATTTATTTTAGATGCCACCACCTAAACGTCAGAGAAAGAATGTGGGCCGTAAAACTGGTGATCTAGATTCATCGTTAGATTTAGGGGATGACGAGATTACATCATCATCTTCTACGATAGTTAAAAGGTAGAATTTATACACAGTAGGGTTTAACTAAACAGATAGATTACTCATACACTAGGGTTTCAGTGTTGAGTCAGATGGTTGTTATGGTAACTATATGTGAATATTATGGTTATTATGTTGTATTTTTAAGGTCAGCTAGAAAGAGAGGAAGTGTAAGAACAGCGACACCAAGTAAACCTATTTTGCCTAAAATAACTAGAAATACGTCCAATGAGAGGTAATTACTGTTATAAACATAATTTATCTAAAATAACTAGAAATACATCCAATGAGGGGTAATTTATAATGGTTCGCATTTGCATGTTGTAACATAAGGTCTGTCATTGAGTCAACTGGCGTGGTTTCGAATCCCTGGTTGTACTAGACCACCCAACTACACTTTTCGAACAATCAGAATCGAGCAAATTTCTAATTTGTGCTACAATCTACATTAGCCCTGTCGGAGCAGAACAGTAGGACGTTAAACCCCATTTTATATTATTTAATGTCAATCTTTCATATAATTCATATAAGTTTATATATTTTATTTTATATTTTTAGTTATGATGGTGGTCGAGGTCGGATGAGTAAAAGTAGTTCTAATAATTCTAATGTATCTAATATAGATCCTGAAGATTTGTTCAGTGTTTTGTAGACTTATTTATCAGACAGAATAGTACATAACTGTTTGTATCTGGTTTATTTATCAGACATTTCAATCAGTTTCTAATGTGCTTGATACTGAAATTTGAGAGAACAACTGTAATAATAGGAGGTAGCCATTGTTTACGATTCAGACATAATGTTGTGTATTAATTGTATAATTTGTATATAATACAGGCATAATGTTGTGTATTAAACATAACCTAATATTGTATATATCACATGAATATACTACTGCTAATATAATAGAATATATTGTATTAACATGTTTGTTTGTTTGTATCTAAGACGCCATGTTGAATGTCCCAACTTGTTGTTGTTTATTAGGTGAATGTTTGTGATTAGTTGTTTCTGCTTAGGCTAAGTAGAGATAATTAATTTTATACCTGCTGGAGTATAATTAGTTCAATTATATCCATACCTTGACTAAGTTTGATAATGGTGTGGAGACTTGATTAATAGTTCTATTAAATCCATACCTTGACTAAGTTCGATGATGATCAGTTTCTGTTCATGTTTTGCCAAGTTGATTGTGTGAGCTATAAACCAGTGGGATCACGGCGGTTGACATCAGCATTACCATTTTATGTGTTTGTCTTCAATTGGGAATCACGGTGGCTAAGTGGGTAAGACACTGGCTCGCTAGCCTGTTCGATCCCAGCATTGGCCGAGAAAGTTCTTCCATATTTTCCGGCGTGGTTCCCCCATGTCACTGATGCAAGCCAGAGGGCCTGACAAGGATAGTTGTCAAGTAGTTTGGATTGGACGAAAAAATGATATCCCGTGTACACATTGGCGTGCACATAAAAGATCCCTTGACAGTTGGAATTCGATATAAGAGTATGCCGTAGCGCCTCTGCCCGGGCAAAATTTCCCTCATAGCACACTGTATGGTGGGTGTATGCCCGTCTTCATTAGCCCAGTTCGGAGCAGAACTGTAGGACGTTAAACCCAATTTCATTTCATTTTGTTTGTCTTCAAATAGACCAAATTACAACCAAATAAACAAACTTTTCAGCCGTGTGTAACTTGAATAATGAAGAAATATTGACTCCATTATAATAAATTGTAGGGTCAGGGTTGGGTGGTCCTGTGGTTTAACACTTGCACGTGAAGATCTGTCATTGAGTCAATTGGTGTGGTTTCTATTCCCTGGAGAATCCCGATTTATTTTTTTTACTGTACTGGTTGTTGGTCCCAGTATTGACCAATCATAATTTGGGACAGAAATTGTACTGGTTGTTGGTCCCAGTATTGACCAATCATAATTTGGGACAGAAATTGTACTGGTTGTTGGTCCCAGTATTAACCAATCATAATTTGGGACACAAATTGTACTGGTTGTTGGTCCCAGTATTAACCAATCATAATGTGGGACAGAAATTGTACTGGTTGTTGGTCCCAGTATTGACCAATCATAATTTGGGACACAAATTGTACTGGTTGTTGGTCCCAGTATTAACCAATCATAATTTGGGACACAAATTGTACTGGTTGTTGGTCCCAGTATTAACCAATCATAATGTCGGACAGAAATTGTACTGGTTGTTGGTCCCAGTATTGACCAATCATAATTTGGGACAGAAATTGTACTGGTTGTTGGTCCCAGTATTGACCAATCATAATTTTTGGTCAATGGGATTAGGTTCAATCAAACGAAACACTACCAGGAATATTTATTCACGAAACGTCATTTACACTTTCAACCGCCATTTTTAGGCCCCAAACTATGACGTCATGGGTGTTATACTGGTCAAAAAACCCACACGCCTGGAATACATTGAAGTGTTTTTGGTGTTTAATACGTTACGTTCATGTAGTATTTATCAGAATAAGTATTAACTGTGGACAAACTGGAATTTATAACGATACTCATGAGTACAGTCACTTGACCCCATTTTCTCAGTGTTGCACGTGGGTAGAGTTTTTTCCCGAACTTTTCCCTTGCATTAAAGGGTGAGCGATAGAGGCCGAATCGATTTTAAAATTGAATTTATTTTCTAGCTTTGGTTACATGAGTCATCAATATATATTGAAAACATTTGGGTCAACTAATAGCATTGAATATTGCGGAGTCCGCGAGAAAACAGGTTATCTCCCTTGCATGATAATGAGTAGATTATCTAAACATAATTCAGATAGAAGTTCAATTATTATTTATTACTTTAATTGTAAAGGAACATTGGTCATAAGTTAATAGTTTTAATCAGAATAACAGTAACCTAATTATTAATCTCGTACAATGTTAGTTAGTTATTTTATTAATTGTTGTTTGAATTGTAAAGTTTCTATGATCATCAATAAATCCACTGACAGGATTACTGAGTCTCTTCCAGTCAATACGATGAGTAACACAGGTAGAACTACCAGGTTTAACAGTCCAATTACATTGTTTAACTACAGATTGTCTATCATCTGTTTTATTTATAACTTTATATGTGACGTCAACATTACATGACGTAATACTTTTATCTTCTACGTCATTCAGGTATAAGTCAACATATAATGATGATGAGTGTTTACGCACACCAACAAAGATACTCCATGTAAAACCTGAAACTACATGTTGTTTACCATTATACATACGACCTCTCACAGTATCCACAGTATCCACATTAAAAACATCTTCAAACATATTCTGATGACAACTTACAATTTTACCAAGTTGATTAGTTAACAAAGTTTTATCTATCTCTGCTACTTGAAATGTTGAATATCTTACATCAGGTATATCCAATTTTCTACAACAACTTTCATCTTTCTCCTGTCTAACTTTAGGTAATCTTTGTAGAACTTGAACAACAGACGAATCTTCTAAAACATTCACTGAATATTTAACACTAGCTTTTAAATCTTCGGTTTGTCTTTTAATGTCCTCCATTAATTTCCCAAATTTGGATTCTTCTTGTTCACTAGATTTCTGCATTTCCTTTTTAATATTTTCGCCAATTTTACGAAATTCGGAGCAGATTTTATCCACCTGTGCATCTACTTTGTCACACTCTGATTTGTTACAGTTGTTTACTTCAATCAATTTACTATTCAAATTATCATAATGTTTCTGAAAATTGGTAATTTGTTTTTCTAAATCTTCATTCAGCGTTTTTAAGTCTTGTCTGATATTTTGTCTGACATCCTCCTTCTGTAAATCTAAAAAATTATGTCCGTTATGATTGGTCACGAAACAGTTGAAACACACGGCTAGTGAACAATCTTTACAGTAAATTTTTACTGTCTCATCTTCATGGTTTGGACAGAAATCTTTCGGATGTGTGACGGAAGTGGCTGTTGTCTTTTCCTTCATTGGTTCGTTTGATTGTTGACAGACTTGTTTTTCATCATATCGACAAACAACATGGTCTTTACAAGATTTTAACTTATCATGCATGGTTTTACATGATTTACATAAATATTGATCACAGTCTCGACAAAAATATTGACATGTATCTTCAGTACATACATCGCATTGTGGAATAGTAGAATTGTCATCAATGTTTAGTTTAGGTTTAAAACGCTGTATACCCCCGTCTATAAGACACCGACATAATGGACATTGGAACTGGTCTTTAGTAGAGGTTTTGTTCACATAATCTTCTAAACAGATGAAACAAAAAGTATGTTGACAATCTATCAAAATCGGTGTTTCAAAGTCATGTAAACAAATCATGCACACGTCTTTATCTGTCTGTTTAGCCATGTTGAATACAATACGAGTTGAAACAGGATAAAACTACAGAATCAATCAGTAGTCAGATATAACATACGACAGTGTAGTTTACAGTCTTACTGTTCCACGGGTTGTATAAAATACAGAATGAATCAGTTAGTCCAATATAAAACACGGTATAAAAATCAAAACTATTAGAACTGTATAGTTTACAGTCTTACAGGTAACTAGTCTACTAGATCACTGACACAACAATACAACAACTTCTTCTCTCTAGTCAACATGGACGTCACGAGTCACCTCGAACACTTTATCCTGCCTTGACCCCGAGGTCATCAATCACGTGATATTAAACTACGACAGTCAATACGTAAACAAACTGTATACGTGAGATATACATGTGGTATTGGACTGTAAACAAGGGGTATTTGAGATATTTCTACTTCCCCGGTCAGTCATACTTAATGTTTTGTTTCAATCAACATCAATGTAAATTCGTCGAGCAAACCAGATAATATCTACATTTATACGTCAGGGTGTCAGTGTCAACATATATTAATTTGCTACAATTTCTCAGAAATTCAAAACGATTAAAACACTAGAGTTTACTGCAGTCTTGCGGGTAAACAGTCTACTAGATAACTAAGACAACAAAACCACATCTCATTCTCTTTAGTTATCATCCACGTTATAGATCACTCTACTAGATTCTAATTCCAACTGTCAGGTTGTCTTGTACATGAACACCAATTTCGGTTGTCCAGGTTTATTGTACATGAACACCAATATGTATAGAGGGTTATTTTTATTGGTTTCTCGTTAACGGTTGATTGAGTTTGAATATGTTAGATATATATTATACACATATTTCTATAGACTACCTGTATGTTACCTGTACAGGTGTATATATTATAGTTTCATCAATTAATACCGAATAGGACTGTTGGTTTCTCGTTAACGGTTGATTGAGTTTGAATATGTTAGATATATATTATAAACATATTTCTATAGGCTACCTGTATGTTATATATTTATAGCTTCACTCACCAACAACAAAAGAATAGGTGAATAACAACCTGATATAATATTTCTTATATACAGTGTATCTTAATACAGGTGACATGTACAAGCTGAATAACAACAATGCTAGTCTATTGATAGGACAGGAGGACCTCACCACACATAAACAAAATACACTCATGACAAACACGTGGACAACACACACAATATACACATACAATTTAAATAATAAATGAAAAACATATTTATCAAATCAAGTGAATTTATCCGGGTACCAGTCACAAATCTCCACTGTTCTTTACAGAACCAGGTGTAATTAGTTTTAACAGTATTTTATTCATTCACAGAACAAGGTCTGGTTAGTTTTAACAGTATTTCATTCATTTACAGAACCAGGTCTGGTTAGTTTAAACAGTATTTCATTCATTTGAAAGGGATCAAACAACAGACACGGTGTATAAAATTTATATGTGCTTTATTCTAACAGATTTCTTTTCTTATCGAATCACAAACTTCAGAATGTAACACAATCATTTGACTCGGGATTCCAAGTGAACAATGTGAAATGGATTCTTGAACAACGATAACCGCTGTGTTCCTTGTCCTATGTTCTAACCA